AATGTTAGGACTTAAACTTGAATATTGTAATCTCTCTTTATTGATTATAGTGGATTTGGCCGGAGTTGCCCTGTTGTTTTTTTTTTCCCTCTACATTGGAGGGTTTTTTCCAAGTAAAATTTGGTGTTGTGTTCTCTTGTTTTTGATTTCATCACTCTAGTTAATTGTTTTGGCTTGTTGAATTTATTCCTGCAATAAGCTGTTATTGCCCAACAAGTAAGACATCGCGACTACATTATTGTGATCATTTACTGACTAGGTTACCATCTTAAAATGACATGTGTTTGAGTATAGACCTATGCTTAGTATATCTATGTCTCTCTACACCGTAATATGCTATTGTGTAAATGGACAAGTTCATAGTAGGAGAGGGCTACCACCATAGACAAGTGAAGCCGTCCTCGATAATAAACATAAATCATAAGAGAAAAGTCATGCCTATGACAATGTGAAAGTATACTCCATAAATTGAAAAGACTATGAATTAAAAGAAAATAAAAAAAGTTATCACTTGAGCACGCAAAAGAAAAAAAATTATATAGATGTTCTAGTCTGGTACACACATATTTTTATATCTGCAGAGATAATTCAGATGATGGATGGTTTAAAACACACTTTTGCATGTTGTTACTACAATTATCAATTTTGGTTAGGATATGGTTTGTAATTACTTATATCTAAATGGTCCTATCACACACTCACATTTCAATATGATAAATTAATTGAATTGATTGTGAACAAACATCTGAAGGAATATGTCATGTTTATCTTGAGAATTTTAAGCTGATTATGAAATTAATTTGATTGTGAAATTCGTCGAAAAATATTGTGATTGATTCAATTTTTTGTTTATTTTCATATTTTTGTGTGATTGACACGTGTAAGCTTTTTCATAGATTTTCTGATTAACAGTCTAAACTTGACAGTAAACTCTAGTATCCATTTCAAGAAGGGAAAATTGAGCGAAAATATTTAGAAACATAATCTAGGTCGAATATAAGGTGTTAGTTCAGCCTTATTGATTGAGAAAGGGCTCACTGCATTTGATACTGAATTTTGTAGTTTCAAGTTATTTTTCCAGATTATAGATGACGTGTGAGTAAGGGGAAGATTGATTATCCTTAGTATCACTCAGTTCCACTCATGTAGTATTGAAGAGACCAGGTTTTTATCTCCTATCATGTTAGACTAAAACAATGATGCTATTGTTACTGCTCTTGGTAAATAGAGAGTCGGTCTGACCTAATTGAGGAAAAAAAAAAACACTTAACCCCAACTTTAGACAGCCAATCCAGACTAATTTTTCTATATGCCAAGCCAAGAAGTCCACTAATTGAATGGTTCTATCATTTTTATTCCAACTCTTTGATCTCACTATTTGCCTATTGTTTCACTTTATATGGTAGGCCTGTTAATTTCAAAAAAGGGGTAATAGTAGTTTTTGACTTCAATGTGTAGTGATAATGGAACATGAACACTAATTGTAGTATTAGGACGCTTGATTTGTGCAAAGTTTTACAATTTCTTAGTTTGCAGGTGTATTACTTCATATCGATATTATGTTGCTGCATATCTGTTTAGTTTTTGCTTGGCCTACACACTGTGATACATCGGTTGGTTTCATGAAATTTGGGGGGAATTGTGTAAATTAGGTGGTGTTGTATGTCACTTGAGAGAACTAATTAAGGGAAAGTAGTTCATATACTTTATTTTGCAAACACTCTACATTCACTCACAAAAGTGCATTAAGCCTTCGTTTGTTTCTCATTTTTCGTCCATAAAAATGAAAAAATATGACCATTATCCATCACATCAAGCCATCAATTTTGAATTTCTATCTCTTGTGTGGGGTCCAATAACAACTATATTTTTCATTCTCTTTTACAATAATGAGAATCAAACGGGCACTAAATAAAAATGTTTTTGAAATTAAGCTAAGTCAAAGGGATTGTAAGTAAAATATATTTCATATTTTCACTTATTGTTTATTTATTGAATCGCTTAAATTAGAATGATTTTTAAATATCAAAACATGTGCAAAAAAGTGTACAATTGGTTTCAGTCCAAATGGGCTCTATAGATAAACAGATTTCTGACTGTGAATTTTTGGGTTTCTATGCCCTAAATGAGATGTGACATGTACCTTCCATATAGCAACATATATAGAAATATATACTTACCTTATTGGGATTGATTGGTCAAATAATTAAAAAAATGAAAGACTGTTTTAACAAATTAAAAATTTCCTTAATTTAATTATTAACCATATCAAACATATTTTAAATTATTTTTATCTCGAAAAACTTTCATATTTTAGGTAAGACACGTTCATGCCTTAGAAGAGTCTCTACATAAGTAGAAAAAACGATGAAGGGACGAACGAGTGCTTTAAGAAAAATCTATCTGTGTCCGAAGAACCTCCTACAACAAGTTCAGAAGTCTTTTGACCATTCTAGTGTGTTCTGGCCGACTAATATTCAATTGAAGTATCTCAAAACAAAAATCGCGTTCTTTAACAGTAATTGAAGAAATACATCTATGCGTGAATGATATAATCATATTCAAAGATCTGACTACTTGGCGTGAGTTAATATTGGTGAATCTTAATCCAAATGGTGATTGTGGTCGAATACAATAGCAAAGTGGCGACAAAGTGGTGATTGTCTTAAGGGCTTTAGCCTACGAGTTCAACTTAGTGGTTTGTTTCTATCCGTTCGAACAAAATTCGTAAGCGTATGAGATCGTTAACAAGTAATAATGTAGTACGTTAAAAGTATCGTCCCACGAGAAATATTGTTTATTTGTAGTATACTATTATTTATCAAATTCGATAAATGTAACACAAAAGAGATTGATTGTTGGTTTACTATACTAATTTTAACTATGAAAGTAATAAAGATTGTTTTTTATCAAATAACGAAACGAATGTATTAGATTTCCGACTCCACCTATTGACATCTAATTCTAACTCTTGACTTATGCTAATTGGTGTGGTTAACGTGTTTGTGGCAATCGATGATCCGAAAATATTCAATATTATTTTTCAAGATATATCAAACCTTTGTTTAACACGACCTGACCCAATATTATTTTTAGTCCAAATTCATATGAAAAACATGCATTTAATCATAGGATTATCACACGAGATCGCACATGCCATAAATATTATTCCTAATATCTATTGTACATGTGTTAAAGATGTAGTGTTCTATCTATTGTGAGTATTCACCCAATACAAATAAGCAACTTATATGTCCCAACGATGTGCAAACATTAAAACAAAAATAATTAATGCATATAAAATCATAAATACGAGAATTGACTAAAAAAAATAAGTCAACTAAACAATACATAAAAGATTTAGCCTAGCATTACCATATAAAAACTACACAAAAGAAAGAGAGGTGACATCACCCCAAGTTAAAAAACTTGAGAAGAACGTGAAAACTTCAATTCCTCGCGTGAAACTTGACCCAAAAAAAATGCAATTCTACTCCATGAATGTAAAAATCTTCCATTTCTTGCTCAACTATGATAAAAG